GAAAACATCTTTGAATGCTAAAAACCGTAGTACCCACCAGACATACTTCCCCATTCCCTCTAGCTGCTCCTGGAAATACAGCTTTTTTCCAATCGATGCCCTACTCCCTTCTGACAAAAAGCCTCATAACATTAAAAGAAAAAAAAAAAACCAAACTGGTGTCTTTATATGTCCATGTGTAGAGATAGCAATTTCACAATGGGAGTTTAAACAAGAAAAAGCTTATCATATATTGAGGATCAAAAAAGGAAGCAAGCAGACACTGTGCCAAGAACCACAAATGCAACTTGGAAAAAATCCCTTAGTTTTTCCATCCAGTCTCAAGCATCACCTCCATTTCTACATACAGAATGGAACCCTGTATTCCAAAAAGTTCTCCAGGTGAGAATGAAAAAAGGGACATGGGGTGCTTTTATAGTAATGCTTTCCCTCTTTCACCAGATCGTTCACTAGAGATTCATGAAGTTGGTGCATTACAGGGGTTCAGTAGGAGTACTTCCTTTGTTCTTGGAGAACAGTTTTGCTCTCATTCTCTCTTGGCAAGAATTGCAGGGAGAGAATTCAGTACGTTGTAATTCCAAGGCCTTCTATAAAGCTAGACCACGCAATATACCCTTAAACTCTGAAAATCCTCAGCCTCTTCATACCAGACGCAGTCAAGATTGACCATTGTGGTTTTGTTGCCCAGCCTACAAGAAATGGATAGACATCACATAGGCTGAGATTTGGGGTCTCTCCCCCTTAAGCTGGAGATTTTTGTGGTTTCCATTCTTACAGAAGTTATAATAAAGGAAGGATGGTCTTTGTTGTAGTAGGGTCTTGTTATAGCCCTGATGGTTCAGGTATGAGGAGTCATAATAATTTTAGGTTATCATTTACTGGCCCAACAGCATAACTGGATGGTCCAATAAAAAAAATCATCAAAAAAACTCCCCCCCACCATCATAGTATTCATAGATCTCTATTTATGCAGATAATTTACTTATAAAATAATGACATCTTTACAAATACAGTGTATATTTTGTTTTGCCTTGTTTTCTCCCAGAACATACTTAAGGAAAAAAGGAAAAAAGTCTGGAGGACTGAGGTGTATGGGGGAAGAGAGGTTGGAGAGATGAACTTTTCCTTTCCACATGGGTAGGAATGGTTCTATCAATGTTTGTATCCTGCTCTTCACCACTCCATTGTTTGCTAGTTGCATTGACAAGAGAGTCCAAGAAAAACATTGATACCACTATTGATAGTTTTTCTGCTGGATACAGCAGGTATAAATCCCTGTGCTACAGCTTATAAAAGGCGTCAATAACAGGAACCTGCTGTGCAGACGGCAACATGAACCATCTACTCATACAATCAGTCTCCATTTTTTTTTTTTTTTTTAATTCTCCCCCCCACAGGAAAATTGTACTAACCACAACAGAGAAATCATCCTCTTAAAGAGTGCTCTGACAGTCCACGACAATTTGCGACTAGACATTCTGGGTTTAATCCTTTAATAAAATGCACTGTGACAAATTAAA